GCTTGTAAACACATTTCATATCCACTTGAATTTAATAAGCCTTTCTGTGTAAATTTTTCTGAATACGTAGATCAAAGGCACAGAACATGCAAAATTGCAGTTTCCTAGGACACTCAAGGTTTGGAAGTCACCAAACTTTGGCGGCAATTTTCTCATTAATTTTAGTTTGACACCAGGCGACTCCCCTTCAATTTCAAATATTTCGATTTATATTCCAGAGGGGTATCATTTTGTTTTCATCAGAGGTAAGGCAAATAGACAGATGTTAAGAAGACGCCATTAACACAATATTCCCCAAAATTAACGAGCACATGATTCCACCGCGTTGTGACATTTAAAAAAAGTTAGATTGACTAAAAATCATTGCAGATGAGCAAACGTAACTATCAACAATAAGACTGAAAATTCATTCATCTGCGTCTTCTGACTGCAAGGTACGAGTTGAAACGCTGATATGCGATCAATATAATACTATTTATTTCAAACGAGGACACACTGATGGAAGCCTCTCTATGGGCCGCTCACCAACAAGAAAAAATAGGAAGCGACGCATGCTGTTTCTGGGACACTCGCCTCGACTTAAAGCCTTTCAAAATCTTGTTCTCACTGGAAAAACAAACAAACAAAGCAAACAAGGCTGGGCAGACCCAGAGAAACTGATTAAGTAAACCTGAAAAGATGAATGGTGGGCAAACACCATAGGAGGTTTAGAGCATCACAGCAGAGAAATGAATGGAGAAACATGACCGCCGATGTATGTTTCAGATCTAGCATTTTATGATGAAGTTGAGGAGGATGACATTGTCTGAGCTGATGCGAATGAGTTTTGTTTCCAAACATATTGGCATGGGTGGTTGGCGGATGCTCTTTCTTCTCTAAAGATCAAACATCTGTTCTCCTTATCTCTCTTCCTTCTTTTTGTGTTTGTTACTCTCTTGTAACGCCTCATCTTCGTCACTTAAATTATGACTTTATTGTATTGCAAGAGCTGTAAAACTCTAAAAACTAAAAACACATTGGCCATGTCTCTCTTTTGGAGCACATCAAGGAGTCGATATCTAAGGGAGAGAAGTGCGTGACAATTATTGTAGTCTACCGCAAAGTGAAAGCTGTATCACGCGTACAACCTAAAGA